GACTGGGATGTTAAAATAATAAAATGTTGAATGTAATGAAAAAAACATTTGTTTGCAAGGCAATTTGCGGGCAAGTATTATTTACGGGCAACTGTCCGGCGGGCAAGTGTCCGGCGAGCAAATGTTCCGCGGGCAACTGCCCAACGGGTAAATGTCTCGCGGGCATCTGTCCGGCGGGCAAGTGTCCTGCGGGCAAGTGGGCGTATACCCCCATTTTCCTATTTATAAAAATTGGTAGATAGAAAAAACTACACTGCATCAGTTACACTCATATTACCTAATTGCTTACGACCTTGATCAATATATTTTTCAAAATATTTCAGAAAGTGTGGTGCCCATTTTGTTTTGGTCTTGTTCAATTCTTCCTCGTATTCCTCTTCCGTACTAGCTCGAAAAAGTTGCTGCACTTCCAATAGATTTGCTGTTGATCTCCATCTCCACCGTTGTCGTGTATCCATCTTTTTATATTTTTACCGACATGATTGTGACATCGAAATTGTTGAAGTCGTGGAAATGCATTTTTGAATGCATTTTTGAAACTGTGCTCGTCATCCGTCACCAATACACTACGAGAAGACCAAAAACAATTCGACAAGGTAATGATAGTATTTTTGGACAGACTTCCACCAGTGGCACATCCAGAAAATTATCTCGGTGGGTGTAGTAGTATAAAAAGTATTCTAGAGATGTGGAAAATCGAGAGATACTTTTCGAGAAAATTTGTTTTGAACAAAAATCTAAAGTCTTGGCTATCGAATAGTCAAAACCCCGAGTCTCCAGCTGCCTTCGTTCAGCAGTTATTCAAAGAATGACTACCAGTCTTATATTTTCGTTTCGATAATAGATTTAAAGAACAACAGAGTAGTCGAGTATCGAGGACTTAGCTCGTTGCATGTCTAGGCACGTTCGGCGCCCCTGGCTGTTACTCTCACCATTTGTCTTGCAACTGTGGACATAATTTCTTTAATATCATCACGAATTCATCATGGCACGCTTCTTGTTTCGTATCATGCAACAGAGTGCCTAATAAGATAGCTGGTTGTTCTTTAAAAATAGGATGACGATAGGATACACAAGATACGTAGCTATCTAAAAGAAATAGGTTGGCATTTAAGGATAAAATAAGTGACATGGTACTTACCTGTCAAATTAAAAGGCGTATCGTAAGATAAGACTACTTTCTCTTTTGTTATCTTCAACAAATCAGCTGCAAAAAACCGTTATCGTGTTAAATCAGGGTGCAACAAATAAAAATATCTTACCAAAATCTTTTAAACCATCATTCATAATCATGACGACAGACAAAACTGGATGAGTGACTATACGTTGAATATAGCAATCCAGTTCCTTAGCCATGTCGAATATGCTACCGAGTTCATCATTCGACACAAGATGTGTCTCCCGTTCCTTTCGTCTCTGATATCTCACTTGATTTTCAGTAATCAACGTACCAGGATCAACTTTACTGACTAACTGTTTGTATACAACTGCAGGCACGTCATGTTTCACCATATTAGCGATCGATGCTAACACCGATGGTTTAGGACGTTTATTCTTTTTAACATTAGTACTATCACCTAAAATGAAAGAAGAAAAATACGGACACAAAGAATTCTTCTTGTACAAACTGCAGCGTTCACTTATCTGATAAGTATTCTAACCACAATAGTAATGTATACATAAAAGCATAATATAACGAAAACAAAAGATGAAATGAAAATGAGCAAACGAAACAGATGAGCATTCACGAAACAACGTCGTAAACTTAGTGACTTTTATTTACCATTATACTGAACAACAACGTCGTATTCGCATTGCATCGAAACATAAACAGTTTAAACTTTTTATTTTTTTCACCGTTTTCATTCCACGACAGATATTCATATTTTTTGAATAGGTATGGTGGTCTTGATGGACGATTGTGAGCACTGTTACAATGCCATGCATACTCGTCATATTTCCAATCGTCTACCGGAGACAATAAAGAAATGCAGATTAACTTTTTTCATAGTTTATGCAAACACTTACGTTTTGTCTCCTCGTTCAACAGTAAACGATAAATTTTCTTTGGTTCTGTCACATCAGGTAGACAGGATAACTTTTCAGCTTCAATTAATATTCGTTGAAGTTCCTTGATCGAAAGACTTTGATGGACAATCGATCGAGCGACCGACATCTAAAACGGGCAAAGTAATCATAAAAACAGTTATGTTCTCGGTAGAGCATAAACAAATTACTTATCTAAACCTGTGGAGCCAAGAACGAACAAATTAATCTTGAAATGATATGCAAAAAACTAAAATTATGAAGGACAAAAACACACGACTAGGCTATCATCTTCCTCTGTNCCCAATCCTTAATTACAGTTTTAATCTAAAATAGAAATATACGAGACATCCTGGATAATATACATATCAAAACAAAAGCTTTTGTTTACATAGAGAGTAAAATAGGGCAAGCAAATGAGTGGTAGGTTGCAGTCCAATCAGCATCTCTTCCTGTGGCCGTAGCCGTAGCCGTAATTTACCGATAGCCGCTGTTTCGAGACGCTCTTTACCATTACCCCTTTTCTATTCCTCATCACATTAGAAAATTTGGTACTTGCTCCGCGCTGGAGCGAATTGGATAAAAATTGGGCGTCAAATGCAAAATTTGTCGGTATCCGACAGCGGGTTCACCGACAAATTTTGCATTTGGCGCCCAATTTTTTTATCCAATTTGCTTCAGAGCGGAGCAAGCACCAAGTTTTCTAATGAGTAGTTTATATATTGTTGCTATTTTTATCGTCGTTATTTGTAGATATATCTGAGTAACATTACTCCATTATTGAAAGAAGATTTAGAAAAATTATTGGAAAAGGAAGGCTGGACACATACAATAATCACAGATACAGACAATTTAGCATATGGTGCAGTGTTATCTATGAAAGAAGAAGAAATTCAAATGTACAAAGATGGAAAGAAGTTTTTCTTTGTTATATTAGATGACATTAAACTGACTTTGCCTTTGCCATCGATTTTAAAGAATGACTCAAGTGTTGTTCTTATGTTGTAGTAATGATAAAGGTAAAGGACCTACAACATTCAATGTTTTTCCTGCAAATGGAAATCCACAGAAAAAGACGGTGTAAGTGTCAAATTATTCTTTTCCGATGTGATTCGTCTACTGCCTATATCCTGTTTTTCATTGTTTGTTTCTAGTGATGAACAAACTGTTTTCGATGACAGTCATGCTGAAACAGTTGAATATAAAATAGGACAATTGTCATTAGAATGTGAGAAAGACAAGGCAGAGAAAATCAAACAATTATGTCTACGTGAACTGGATGAAGAAGGTGAGCGAGCTTGTGTGCTTCTTTTCACTTTCGTGTTTCATGATTTTTGTCTCCTTTCTTTATTTCTCAGAGAGACGTTTACAAGAAGAACTGGCATTTCCCTATTAAAAAAGATTAATACGAACGTACCTGTGCAGGTCTACAGGGAACATCGTGGCAGACCCTGGAAGACGCGCAGCAGACACTGTCACATACCTCTGCAGAGAATACAGCATAGGTATGTGACAGTGTCTGCTACGGGTCTGCCACGATGTTCCCTGAAGACCTGCACAGGTCTGCTCGTGAGAATTTTGCCTGCTGGAACTGAATGTGCAGGCTTGTTAGCAGTTCTGCCATATTAATCTTTTTTTATAGGGTTGTGCGTGCAAAAAAGCGTAAATTTGAACAACAATGAAAAACAATCTTTTCACATTTTATTTCATTTAGCTGATTCTCGTGTATTTTTTCAATGTTATTGTAAATAGAGTTCAAAATAAATGTTATTCACAGAAGTAATTCTTTTTGTTAATCAGAGAAACTAGAAATCTACCAAGAAAACTGTATCTCTGTTGTTGTTAACCGACGATAGTGCGGGTAACAGTATAGCAAATCGTCTATTTGGTTTCTTGCAGATTCGATAGTGCAGTTTTTCACGCTGAGTCCGAATATGTATAAATTGTCAAGAAAACATTGGTTTTCCGAGGTGCAGCTTGGGAAATACAGCGAAAAACCAAGGGATTTTGGAAAACTTATAATTCTGGTGTGGAGATTTTGTGCATGTTTGTGCTAAGTCTGTAGATGTACCATATACAGACGAGAAAAATTCAAAAAACTGAAGGATGGTCAAAATGAGTCCCCTGCAGTATTCTGCGTTTTTGAGCCAAAGTAAGCGACACAGAACCTTCAAAAACACATAGGAAGTTTCAGCACGACGCCAGCTTTCAGACTAAAAGTCAGGCGGCTATTGTTTTAATCGGCCGAAATCGGGTCAGGGGACGAACTGCCCCTTTTAAAAGCATAACATGCTTTTTTGCGATTTTTTCGAGTTTAAACCATTTTTCCAGGGCACTAAATGCCTAAAAACTGCAACGACGGGCCTCAACAGAGGTAACAATGGCGTAAAGTCGGCCCTTAATCCGGAGATGTCCCGTGGCATATCAGATTTTTCTTCATATTCAACGTTCTTAACAAAGTGGGTAGAAGAACAATACAGATAGAAAGCCAGAATGAGTTCCCTTCAGTATTCTGCGTTTTCGAGCCAAAGTAAGCGACATAGAACCTTCAAAAACGCACAGGAAGACTCGGCATGTGTGCTAAATATTCTTCTTCAAACGATCCAGTATGATGTAAACTTTAATCGGATCTCATGTTTCTTTTTTTGTTTAACTCATAAGAGTAGAGTCCATAATATGTATAGATATCTTTTCATAAATTGCTCATGATTAATGAGCATTTGCAAAAATATTAGGTAAACTCATTACCAAAATATGTGTAAAATTACATGAAAATCTTCAGGATCATAGAGCCTGCTGATCTTAAGCTATTGAGATGTAATTTTCGCAAATGTTGTAGGTAATGGTCTAACGGATACTTCTACTTAAAGAGCATGTCAGAAATCTCCCCCAGAAAACCACTAGAGGTTTGGTTCAGAAAAGTCTGTGTATTTGAATGGACCGGCCCGAATTACCCCAATTAAAAAAAAATTAAAAAAATCAGAAATTGAAGCATATTTTACTGGTAACATGATCCATCCTCCAGTAGTAGGTCCACATCAACTAGTCCAGTGGTAGGATGGAAATATATTACTAGTGTGTTTTTTTGCCAACTCATCGTTTGACGATGATTTATTTTTAAGCTACTATCAAGCGATATAACGTGATATTAGTGAAAAACATTCACACTATCACGATAAACACCCTGTTTATTGTGATATTTTAATATCTCAATATATAGTCATAACATTTTATCGGACTGTATTTATATGTGCACCCAATAAAGACTTAGTTTATCACGATAAAAGCTCATATCTTGTTATATCCATATATGGATGAGTCACTGATAAATCTCTATAAATTGTTTTTTTTAATAATTGTGCAGTTTCCTCTAACATGAATTGTACCTTGTAATTCAGATCAACGGCGCTAGGATCCAGGAGAGATCCTAAGACGAAAGAAGACAGCCCGGTAGTGTAATGGTCAGTACATCCGACCGGTAATCGGAAGGTCCGGGGTTCAATTTCTCAGTTGGGCAGTGGTCATTTTCCCCTTTCTGTCGAGATATAACATCTCGCTGGGTGATTACGGGCCGTAACAAGCGGTAAATCAATGTAAAACTTCACTAAAGTATTAAATTAAATTTAGCTTTAATGAAATAGCAGTCCAAACTTTGGATCGTACGGTGCGGCTAGCTCATTGAAGCTTTCTTGTTTATATCACTTGAATAGTAAAAACTATATTTGCTGAAAGTATCAGCACTTCAGTATGGATACTCCTGGAGGAAAACGCATAACACAGGGGTCCGACTTTGGTCAAAAATGATAAATGTTGCCTGAGCTTCCAACCCTATGCTGGCATGCTGAATATTTTCAAGGTAATATTTTCTATCAGAATTTAATGGGCGTTTATTCCAGATGGACCTCAGGGTTTACAAAAAGGGTTGTACACAAAGTGGTCGACGTCTCATGTAACTATCTTATAACAAAAGTTCTTTTCGTTATTATGATACTGGGTACAGTACACAATGGATGAAACAATTCAATTTTAATGAAATAATATCATAACGTTTGTTGAAACAAAGAAAAAGATTAAAATACATATTTGTTTTATTCTCAAAACATTATCTTTCAAAATGTAACGAGACATAGTGAATGATTCATATAATGACAATATAGTTTAAGTGTCGTAGATTTACATACGTTCTTTGTCAATAAACCTTGTGATATAATATTTCGTCGAAATAAATTAATTTCCAGTACTCTACTGCGAAAAACCTACGGCATAATAACGAAAAGCACAACACATTTTATAACTCACTAACTATCTGGTATACCTTAACCGCTATAATGATCTTCCAATCTACCTTGAAACAAAGATAAAAAAGAAAAGAACTTTTCTGCAGATTCGCTGTTTGTATGCTAAGTTGACTATGATAATGCATAATATCGTAATAATCAACCAATAACCCCAGAAAAATTTTAGAATGCCCATATGGAATTGGGAATGCAGCCTACACTCATCTTTCTTGACCAACGCCGAGGCTCTTTTGTCATGCGTTTTCGTTCAAAAAAGTACACAGATCTTTTCATGTTTAATTATAAAAATAATTAAAATTTTCCTTATACAAATTGAAGAGTTATTCAAGTAACAACAGATTTTACAGTTAGATCAATGGGAAAACTAGATGACAAATACTTTGATTCAATTCCAAAACAATGGTCTCTCATTTGTCGAGATATTAATCTCGGAGGTTTATATTATCCACAAACAATAAAAATAAGTTTATAAGAAAGTGCAAAAGTTCAAGTTTGGCTTCGAACTGCTACACATCGAATAAATGGAAATAATACTATCACTATTCAATGGAAATCAATTGAATGCACGGATTGTTTTACATTACCACTAAATGAATTAATTTTTAACAGTAAAAGTTTCAAGAAAGACAAATATTAACAATAACTCGTGTTAAAAATACAAAACAAACAAGCTTATTCCAGCTTTTTATGGTGAAGGTTTCGATCTCGTTATATTACAAAGTTATCCCATATATATTCAGTAAATATCTTTCTTGTCATTTTGTTTATTTATTGAGTCTTCCAGGAATAATAAAACCGTCTTTATTTTAGCAATATCTTTCTTAAAAAAGTTTTTTGTTCAGATTGTCTTCTTTCGTCTTTTAATTGTCTACAGAATGATTTGTTTTGTAATTTCGTCTGAAAAGATATCAATGAGAAACCGAATAGTTATCTATACAAGTTTCATATTCGAATGAGATTGTTCGGTAATGATAGTTTTAATATATTATCAAATCTGTTTAATATTCTTAAATTCGATGATTATCTATATTATTTTCGTGTCAAACAAAAGAACGTTTAGTCCTATTTTTTGGAAATTATAAATAATGAAAATCTTTTTATAGATAGATTCTCCATCAAATTCATGTTTTAATGGAATATATTCGAAATACGGTGCATCTTACTTTGATTCTTTTCCATCACATTGGCTTAATGAAAGTTCATTTGAAATGAAAGATTTTCTTGAATTTAAATATGAAATGATATATTCAACTAATTCTTTGGATGATGAAGATTATTGATATGTTAATGAAACATGTGAAGTTGATAGTAGAGACAAATATTCAGGTGAATGAAGTTTTTAAATAGAAATACTCAGATATCTCTTCGATTAGCCCTAGTTGTTCGTGGAAGATGAGATGTTGGGCAGGTAACGATAAGTTGTTGTTATTCGAATAAGATTCCATCCTCAACGAACAATCTGAAGAAATCTACGAGAAACTTGAGTATTTTTTAAAAATAAATTTCTTTTCATGGATAAGTTTCTCCACTATCAACTTGACATATTACATCTGCAGACCTGCCTAGAATGGCCTTCATCTTGAGAAGAAGTACTTGAAGTATCATTTCATATTTAAATCGAAGATAATTATCCATTCAAACTAATTTACGTTAAATCACCAATTGGTACAAATGCATTAAATGTATTTCCACCATATTTCCAATATGTACCATACATACAACTGAGAGGTGGAGAATCTATTAATAATTGAACATAATATTTCGATTGTGTTGAATCACGAATTGAATATGGAAACGTTTCCATTCATCATGAAAGTGGTTTCTCTTACTGGAGAACTTAAAGAATATGTTATATAAGGTTGTTGATTTATTTCATCAATTGCAAATATTGTTTAACCATTATCAGGAGAAAATACAATTTGAGAAGAAAAATATGGTTGTGCACATTCTCCTGTATAATTTAATAAAATAAATATTAAACAAAAAAATTTTCATTGTCTAAAATGATTCACTGAATAAATATTAATGAAGGTTCATTAGAATATGTTTTCTTTTGGCACACAAAAAATAAATTATCATGAAATGATGAGTGGACAAAACATTATTTTAATACTTTTACATTCTTATGTTTGTCGATAAACAAACAGGTATAATGATAGTAGAAGAGCGAAGAAGCATAAGTGTTTTGTTCATATGATGGTCGTT